CCCCAAAACCCCAAAACCCCAAAACCCCTTCAATATACATCGAATGACTTTAAAATTTGTTAAAATACTCAAATAAATCCAGTTCAAATAATAAGATCATTATTAAGGGTATCATAACTAGTGAGTCTCTTTTTCCTTCCCTTAATTTTGTCACATTTGCAACTGCAGTTATCAATTAGAACTCTCAAGAGCATCAAAACACAGAAAAGCAAATGCCCTCCTGCAAGTACCAAGACAACTCTCGCATCCTTATAATTCATAATCAAATCGTCATAATTACTCAAACCAATAATCCAAATTACTATTCTAATCAAGGAGGTGAAACATTTGAAATAGCCAAGAGACAAGAAATAGAAATGCCCTCCCCTTGTTACATTAAAATAACCCTGATATTGCTATGGTTTTCCCTTTGGTAAGTTAAGCTCATCAGGAAAAGGCTCTTCAGATCCTTGCTATAAATAGCCTCTTTATCTATAGCCAAGATGTAGCAAGAAGTCTCCATAGGGAATCAAAGATATAAACAAGATCATGCAAACGTGGAGGAATCTCAGCAACCCATGATGAGCGTAGCCTTCCCACATTGAAGCTAGAAAGATATATGCTATCAATCTAATGAAAAATGACAGGCATGAATCAACTATCAATCCAATCAAAAAAAGGAAATTGCTCTTCTGCTCGAAATCTTTAATCAACAGCAAATCAACATAGGCGTGGATCATCATGCCCCATTCACTCAGAGCCAAAAGAATGATAAATAAGATTTAAACGCATTTGGTCTTGCCCTCTAAATCCTTACCTACGTTATGCTTAACTACTTTACACCATCTTCCCAGACCTAGGCAGTAACAACCTCTTGTCTTTCTCCCCCAGTGTTGATTGTAATCAAGAATGTCTGTGATCTCAGGTTACTTTGCCTAAAAATTGGCAAGCAAGGGATCTTTAAGTTTGGCGTCTTCCTTTTAAGCCTTTTGCTTTTCAGGTTTGACCACCGCAACTGGCTTAGCAATTTTCTCGCATTTAGAGTGATTACTAAACTTACTCCTCTTCATGGTCTTCCAACAAATCTAGCAAGTTACTTCATATTTAGGGCAGCTATCTATTAAATGTTCAATATGGGTGGTGTTTCCTCCAAGATTGGTTTTACAATTAGTACAACTTCCACATTTAGATTCATGTTCATCTAGTTTATCATGATTTATTGCCTGTTTGCAATTTTTACAGTTTATTTAAGTTTAAGCTAGCAAACCTTTTAATAGCCTATTAATCTCAGTGAATTGTGGCCCATCAATCTTACAAATGGGACATTAATTACTGGTCTTTAGTTTTTCATCCAAACATCTCTCGCAGAAATTTCTTTGGCATTTTTCTTATTCACATTGCTTTGGATTTCTGAGAACATTATTGCAAATTGAGCATTGTATTTGCTTTAAGTAAGATTAGACATTCTTGAGGTTACTGACTCTCTACTTAGTCAGAAAGTAATCCTAGCCGTTTCTCCCAGTGCAGGATTATTGATAGCATTTATGGCTTTTAAGTTCTTCTCTAAGCTATCTAATTCCACAATACGGACAATGCAGCTCATAGAACTTACAGCTAGAAGCAAAATGACTATGCATTTCCTTTTTTATTATTGGTTTTTACTTGCAGATTTTGCATTCACCACACTCCTCAGCATGCTTTTCATAATCAAGCAAGGACACTGTCTCGTCACATCCCTTTGGTCTGTATTTGCAATGTAGTTTAACATTGCTCATAAGTCCAAGCAAGTTTGGGTTATCGCTTACTTTACTTAGTTTTGGATTTGGATCTTGGCACAATGGACATCTACCCTTGGACTTAACCCATTAATCGATACAACTTGAACAAAATGTTGTTGATTGGCATTTCTGGCAATACACTGGATCTCGTGACAGAAATAGGAATTCTGTGCAGATACTACAGGTGACGATGTTTTCATAAGCTTTGATTTCATCGTAGTTTGCTATCTGTTCATCTTATTCAAGAATTGATTTTCTGTATGCTGGTTTGATTTGTGAGTTAATCATTTCTTTCTTCTCCTCTTCATTCCTGCTTATATTTGAAGGATCAGCTCCAAACACCATTGGTGCTTCATCATCAACTTTTTTTCCTCCTTTTCCCATGATTTTTTCATTGCTCTTTACTTCTTCCTTGCTCTCCTCATTCTCTGATAGAATAAATCAAATGGCAATTACATGAATTAGGGTTAAATACAAGGGGCTGTTAATCAGCATCCATCCCCTTTTTCTTCAAAAATGGCTTATTATCTGGTTCGAACTCTTTTCTATCCATTATATAATATTTATGTATTAATTTTGATTTGGATATTATTACTTCGAAGTTTACTCAGCAGATCTATCATAGCGGGGTTTTGGGGTTTTGGGG